TATGAAACAAATCGTTATTCAGTGTTAAAAAAAAACAAATCGTTATTATCACAAATGATGTAATTCAAAATCATATGAAATCGTAGATAACAAAAAGAAGAATCTCTCAAGTACTCTTCTTTTGTTTTGCTCGCTCTTAAATATCTCTTTCTTGGTCAACACTTATTCCCAAAATTGTTTATTCCAACTTGTTATCTAGTAATATCTATCAATGCAATGAAATGAATCGTTAAAAAACAATGATGGGCCTCAATTCTATGACTCATCATCCCATTGGTTTGTTCTGTCCCATCATCTCCAAGTTGATAAACATTGAAATACGACGATTCGTGTTTATCTAAACAAGAAGCCTATTTATTACAAGTAGAGATATTTTAACAAGAAGCTCCAAGAAATGGAAGATCAAGAACTGCACAAGAATTCACGTGTTGTTAAGGTTGATTCTGCAGAATCATGGAACTTTTATGTGAATCAAGCCAAGAATCAGAGTTGTCCTGTAAGTCCCTCTCTTATCCTCTTATCACAATCCAAAACAAAATCTGATTCTGATCCAACCCATGAAATAAGTAAAGGTTTTTAAGGAGATTGTGTGATTCTTTATTGTGTTTACAGATTGTGGCTCATTTCACAGCAGCATGGTGTATTCCTTCTGTGTTTATGAACTCATTCTTCGAAGAACTTGCTTCAAGCTATAAGGATGCTCTGTTTCTCATAGTTGATGTTGATGAAGTCAAGGTAATAAATACTTGTGTGTCTTTGTTCATGGGTCCCTTGTTAAAAAGGTTAAGTTTTTTATAGCTCCATGTATTTTGTTACTATGTTGGATCGGTCAGGAAGTGGCGAGTCGGCTAGAGGTAAAGGCCATGCCGACTTTTCTGTTCTTGAAAGATGGTAATGCGATGGACAAAATCGTGGGCGCAAACCCTGATGAGATCAAGAAAAGGGTCGACGGTTTTGTTCAGTCCTCGCGCGTTGTTCATATTGCTTAGAACTATATAGTTTGTGACTTTGGTATAATGATTTTGTGTGAAATTTCAAGTGTAAGTGTAGATTTGTCTCTAGACTTTCGCTCTTTTTCAGCTATGTACATGTTTTAATATAACTTTATGTGTTTTACTTCCTAACAGAATCTGTTTGAGGATTAGACTAAGAAGATTTTTGGTTGGTGAATCTAATTCACATAAAGGCTATACTTTTGCTTAAAACAATCATACAGACAAAATAAACCATAAATGAAGAATCCAAATGAAACATGTAAAGAACTAGACTT